GGGGGTAGGAACTGTTTAAGAACTAGAGGAAGGTTGTGGGTTTCATTATTGCTACACTGAACCCTGAGTGACTCATCTCTTCCCCACTATCCCTCTGCAAGGGATGTCCAGTGGGACAACATTTTTTAAAGTTTGAGTTGTTCTCATCCCCAAGTTCTCCTGAGGGCTAAAGTGCATCTGGCCCAAACTATCGTATTTTTTTTAATTAAGCGATAGTATTTTCAGTGGCCTCATATGCATGTGAAAATTGGACACTGACCTCCCACAACTCAAGAACACTTTGTTCTAACAATCAGGCATCCTGTGATGCTCACCTTCCCAACACAATCACTGAGACAAAATGGGTGCATAAGCTAATGTGAAGAAAGCTGATGGTGCCCGGCTATTACACGATACAGCGCCTGGGGCACTAGTTCTCAACCTTCCTAATGCTGCAACCCTTTAATACAGTTCCTCATGTTGTGGTGACCCCCCAACCATAAAATTACTTTTGCTGCTACTTCATAACTGTAATTCTGCTACTGTTATGAATTGGGCAACCCCCGTGAAAGGGTCGTTCAGACCCGTTGAAAACTGCTGGTCTGGGGTCTTAAAGGCTTGAAGTTAAACAAGCGGCCATATAGCAGGGAAGCAACAAAGCCCAGATGGAAGAAGCACACCAGCCTGTGCAATCACAAGGTGTCGAAGGGATGTGGTATCAGACATCAAAGGACAAAAAATCATATCATTGTGAATGAGAGTGTGGAGTGGGGACCCAAAGCCCATCTGTAGACATTTGGACATCTTCTCACAGAAGGGTCACAAGGAAGAGATGAGCCAGCTAGGGTGCAGTGTAGGAGCAACAAAACACACATTCTTCTAGTTCTTTAATGCTTCCTCCCCCCACTATCATGACCCCAGTTCTACCTTACAAATCTGGCTAGACCAGAGCCATGTACATTGGTAGAGATAAGAGCTCTCAACACACAGAATCCAGGACAGATAAACCCTTCAGGACCAATAATGAGAGTAGTGATAACATGAGGGTGGGGGGAAGGTGGGAGAAGAAGGGGAGAAAGGGGGAACTGATCGTAATGATTGACATACAACCTGCCCCACCCCCGGGGGGAACAAACAACAGAAGCATGGGTGGAGACAGCAGACGGTGTAAAATATGAAAATAAAAATAATTTACAAATTATCATGGATTCACGAGGGCAGGAGGGGGGGGGAGGGGAAAATGAGGAGCTGATACCAAGGGCTCAAGTAGAAAGACAATGTTTTGGAAATGATGATGGCAACATATGTACAAATATGCTTGATACAATGGATGTATGGATTGTTATAAGAGTTGTAAGAGCCCCCAATAAAGTGATTTATTAAAATTAATTTTTTAAATTGGATATTGAATAGAAAGACTGAAATAGAATCAATGTATGTGAATTATGGCTCTGGCAAAGAATATTGAAAGTACCATGGACTGCCAAAAGAACACACAGATGTCTTGGAAGAAGTACAGCCAGAATGCTCCTTAGATTGTGGAACGACATCTGCATTGGCTCCCCAAAAATGGTTTTCGAAAAAAATGAGAAAAGCATGCTCTTTACAGGCAAGGAGGGCAAGAGTCTGTCTCACATACTTTATACATGTTATCAGGAGAGACAGTCCCTGGAAAGGGCATCGTGCTGGGTAAAACACAGGGGCAGCAAGAAAGAGGAAGCCTTGGGCCAAATGGATTGACACAGCGACTTCCATGGGCCGGAACATAGGAATAATTGTGAGATGGCAGTGGCTCCTTCTGTTGTGCAGATAGGCTCTGCGAGCCAGAACCAACTCGAGGGTACCCCACAACATCCTCAAGGAGGAGGACAAGAGGTTAGATCTGTTTCCCTTTATATCCATCAGAGGGGGAAAAAGACCGAGGGAGAATCAGGCCAGCCACTCAGCATTTGGGGAGCCCAGCAGATGCTAGGCTCTCAACTCTCTGGACTGTTAGCCGTCATGCTGAATTCACAGCGAAGAGGGTGATATTTTTGCGATGAGAAACACAACGGGGAAGTTAAAATAGGAAAAAGTTTTGTATTTGGGGCTAGTACAGTAAAAACTGAAAATGCGGGCAACTGTGTTAAGAGCGAGAGAACCCTGTGAAAGGGTTGTTCAACCCCCACAGGGGTCGTGACCCACAGGTTGAGGACCGCTGATCTAGATGATGAGAAAAACAAATTTATTAAATGCTAGTGGGATCATGCTCATCTAGCAAACTGTCCTCCAAAACACACTTAGTGATACAGCTTCCCTTGCTTTTTGCTGCCAGTGCACAGGTCAGGCTTACAAACTCATAAAACAGAACAAGTCTCTAAGTGATGCTTTCACTGTGAACTTTGCGGGAACCTCTGGAGGCAGGGGAGAACCAACTCGAGGTGACATAGCTCTGGAGCTGCAAAAGCAGTTCTTAGTTGCTGATGAAGGAGCCCAGAGCCCTCCTGGCACGGTCATGTGTTGGGCTAACTGCAAAGTCAGCAGTTTGAAACCACCAGATAGATACTCCTTGGATAAGGTGACCAGATTTTAACATTGGTAAAGCAGGACACCATTGATAAAACTCATATCCTGTCAATGGTACAGATAGGAACTGAAAATACAGGGAATCCAGGGCGGATGAGCCCCACAGTACCTGTGGTGTGAGTGGCGAAACAGGGAGGGTAAAGGGAGTATGGGTAGGAAAGAGGGAACCGATTACAAGGAACTATATGTGACCTCCTCCCTGGGGGACAGACAACCGAAAAGTGGGTGAAGGGAGACGTCGGACAGGGCAAGATATGACAAAATACCAATTTATAAACTATCAAGGGCTCATGAGGGAGGGGGGAGCGGGGAGGGAGGGGAAAAATGAGGACCTGATGCCGGGGGTTTAAGTGGAGAGAAAAAGTTTTGAGAATGATGTACAAATGCGCTTTACACAACCGATGTGTATGGATTGCGATAACAGTTGTATGAGCCCCTAATAAAATGTTTAAAAAAAAAAAACTCATATCCTGGTGAAATAGCCACATGGCAGCCGAAAACCATACACCTTAGCTTGTCGTGCATTCTTTCCAAAAATCGGGACGTTAAAATGCCGCAAGACGCAGGAAAATTGTTAAAAATCAGGATTGTCCCGCCAAAAGCAGGGTCTCTGAATCAAAACAGATGTGAATGCAACGAGAATGAAACGGTTTGAACCCACCAGCTGCTCCCCAGGAAAGAGGCGGCATCCTAACCAAGATTTAAAGCCTCGGAAACCCACATGGGGCAGTTCAAGTCAGACTTGACTGCAGTGAGAATTAGTTGCTAATGAGCTCTTGTCAAACCAGCAGGCTGAACCTTAGAGAATGCTAAAGTTGTCAGAAGTACCTGTCTTAGAGGGTGTCAATTAAGGCTGACAAAGTAAAAGGGTTTAGGAAAGCCTTGTGTCACTTGGAATTGAAACATGCCTCTGGCCCCGGCCTGGAAGTGCTCCAGGACCTGCTGCTAAAGGCTATGGATGGTTTCCAGCTCAGCACCAGCGAATCAGCTGACTCACTGAAAGCAGGCAGAGGCTCAAGGACTCTCACCTCCCACCCTAAGACTACTGGGGCCATAAACTATAAAAACATCAGGTCTGTGTGGGATTTGTCCTCTGCTGGTCTCTGAGCTGCTGATGGCGATGTCAGAGAGAGCAGAGTTATGGGGAGGACACTTTACCGGGAGTGACTGCTCCACCTGCTCAGGACTGTAGACACCTCTTAGGGATGTCTTGCTGATGTGCACACCCCACTGTACTGCCCATCTCGTCTGGTGTACAGACCTTACTCCTGCAGTTTGTTAGACACCGGGATTGAGCTCTACTCATGGGATGCGTCAGGAGAGAGGAGGGATGATACAAACCAATAAAGACAAGTCAGGTTTTGTCCTGACCAACTCAACACGCATGTGTCCCTCTGGTAAACCGCATAAACATTTTCCTAGGATGCACTCTGTCCAGACGAAGAGGTGAGGTAACCTACATGGCTTTGACCTTCAATTCTAACATTCGTGCTCAGGCACAATTACCAATGAGCCCACCAGAGCAGCTAGCCCAGCCGTGCTGAAACACATCTTCAAAATGACATAGGGACATGCTATGTTTATATAAGCATTCTTCAGACCACCATAACCAGAGGTTGGGTTGAGTGATGTAATTAGGCTGTCCACAGCATTCAAGGTACAATCATGAATAGCTTTATCCCAGATCATTATTAGTTCATTCTGGGGCAAAGGGTGGTAAATATACAATTCTGGCAGGGTGTATATTGTGTGCCCAGCAAGCAAAATTCTCATCCACTGCATGGTGAGAGCAATTCTCTATCTAACTCAAAACTAAGGCGACAGTTACAGTAGGAAATTAGTCGCTATAGAGAACAGTAAGAGACAGCCAAATAGAAAAATGACTCCCCATATCCAGTGATCCAGTTTATGAATGTCGCTTTAACCAAGAACTCTAGGGCCTGTTGCTGGACACTGAAGTTTCCCTTAACGAGTAAAGGATCTACCTGGAGCATTGTGCTCTTTGAGATCAATAAGGGAGCAAATTGACAACAGCAACATGAGTCTGACAGGAAACGGGGCAGTAGGTCTCTACTAAGAACCACCCAGAACGAGGTTGAAATTGTTTGTACACCTTGAAGAATGATCAGTGTCACTGAGTCGCACAAGCAGAAAATGTTGGATTGGCGTATGCTGTGTGTGGACACAGGTATAGTCTCAACGATAAGTCTATTAGACACTCAACTCCAGGGCCTCAGAGCTGAGCCCTTCTGAGTGTAGCAATATTCAAGTAAAAGATGCTAAGAAGCCTTGTTTACTGACCCATTCCTCATCTAATGCTATGTTTGTTCTTTTGAAGAATCACACGACTTACAGAAAACCACCAAGCCGCCTGGAGCTTTTATTTTTAACCTGATTTCTGTACAGGGACATAAGTAATCCTTTCACAAATAAAACTGATTACTAGAAGAAACAAAGACAAAAGCAAAGCCGACATCTGACGTGAATCCACAGGCGTTCAAGCGTCAAATCCAGCCAAAAAGTTGGTGACAATCTCTTTCAGCTTTGCGTCTGACTGTTCGGAGATCTTTCCATCAGCTCTACACAGACATGAAAGCAAGTGGTCAGTTCAGATCTGCACACAAATTCAGAACATTAACATGACCACAGTACTTCAGAGGCTGCCCACTGCACGCCTACCTGATGTTGCCCAGCAGAGCCTGGTGCTGGCTGATGACATGGGACAAGAAAGCATTCTCAAACTTGGTGATCTTGCTGGGCTCGAGCTTATCAAGATAACCCCTCACGCCAGCGTAGATGACAGCCACTTGCTCTTCAATAGCCATGGGAGCTGAAAACAAAGGAATGTGGCTTGCTTACATTACTCGTGTCAGCAAAACTTACCTTACCCAACATCTCAGACTCTAGGTTTTTTGACAACAGAACCCCCTGCCCCACTCTTTTCCTAGCTCCCACCCTGGGGAAAGTGTACCCTGCTACCTGTAAGTACACTCACCTTTGAGTGTACTTTCTGCCAGCCAAAAGGGCACTGGCTGAGGACATGGGACAACACAGCATTCTTGAGTTTTGATCTTGCTGGGCTCTAGTTTGTCCCCTTACCCCCTCACACCAGCAGATGATATAAACATTGCTTTATGTGGCTGGCAGTGGGATGGGAAGTTTAAATAATGTGCTGGCATTTTATGAGAAAATAAGACGCATTAATATTCTTTTAATTCTACCAAATTCCTTAGTCATATAGCCTGGGGTGGAATAAGAACCAAGGATTTAATTCTGACAGGAAGGTGTCTTTTTATGGACCATCTCAGGATCAGCGCTTGTAACAAACACTAAGCTTGAAGCCAGAGTGAGGCTGTGTATCAATCTGGCAGGATCACGATTCTCAGTGACTCACAGTCATAGCAGGTACTCCGGCAGTTGTCACAATCACTTTGTGATCACTCGCACTTTGGGACCGAACCAAGTCAATAAGTGAGGAGTGGGTGTAATTAGGATTACATTCAAATGGTGACAAGGACCATGCCTTAGTTACATGTTATTGATTGCATTCAAAATGCAGTACCTTAGATCGGTGGTTCTCAACCTGTGGGTTGTGACCCTTTTGAGGGTCGAACGACCCTTTCACAGGGGCCGTCCGATTCATAACAGTAGCAAAATGAGTTATAAAGTAGCAATGAAAATAATTTTATGGTTGGGGGGTCACCACACACGAGGAACTGTATTAAAGGGTTGTGGCATTAGGAAGGTTGAGAACCAGTGCCTTAGCTGAATGATAAACAGGTTTGCTAGGGCTTAGAAAGAGCTATGTGGTACACTTTCGGACATCACCACCCAGCCAGAACTTGTCCAAATGAAGAAAAGTACAACTCACAGTACTGTCCTTGCTTCAGCAACTCAGTCAGACGCACACCCCGACTCAAGAGCTGCTGAGTGGCGGCATCAAGGTCAGAACCAAACTGGGCAAAAGCAGCCACTTCCCGATACTGGGCCAATTCCAGCTTCATGGTGCCTGCCACCTGAGGGCAGACATCGTTCACACTTGAACTCAATGCCACAAAGTAGCCCACAACTCTAACCCATGTTTTAGGATCTCAATCGAAATGACAAGACAACCCCACACAATCTGACGCAAATTACCTGCTTCATGGCCCTGGTTTGGGCAGCAGACCCAACACGGGACACAGACAAGCCAACGTTAATGGCAGGGCGGATACCTTTGTAGAACAACTCTGTTTCCAAGAAGATCTACAATGTGAGCACACACACACCAGTGAATTTAAAGTACAGAATTCAATGATTTCTCAATTTCTATTCTCCGTGCCTCCAATCACTAAGGCTGCTAAAGGTCTCATGGTCAAGAGCCCATCAATCTCGTAACTCACACTGACGCAGAGACCATATTGCTGAGACTGAACAGCGCATGCTTTGAGGAAGAGAGCACACACAGAGAAGACCGCTAGTCCATGGACATTTTTCTCAAAGTGATCTTGGGGGTGAGGGCCAAGAACAAAAGTTGACTGCAGTGGGTATAAATAAGACCAGTACACTGTACACACCAGAAGTGATAACTGGGTGAGATAGGAGAGATTTCCTTCCACTATTTTCCCTACTTCTATACATATTAAAAATTTTTCCAAAATAAAAAGTAATAGGGGCTCTCTGCTTCTCTGCAGAGTGGAAGAGAAATAAGAAACCAGTCTTCAGGACGATCAGGCTCCACACACTACCACCTCATCTTCACCTGCCCTAAGATACCTTTTGAAATGAAACCACTTCGGAAGTTGCCTTTCATTAAATAGATTGGCTCCTATCATAAACATCACCTTAGCAGATTTTAAAAATCATCTATGGGAGACACAATGGTCAAGGGTTATCCTATAGCAAAAATTAGAAGGTTATGGGGAGGTGGGCGACCAGGTTTATGGAAACAGAACCACTCAAGCAAACAATGTGAGTCCTGAGAAAAAGTTCCTGGAAAAAATGGAATCAAAAGACAATTTTCCACAAAGATTGTTGAATTTCTCTCTTCTATGCACTGAAACTATTAAAAGGGAATATGCTATGTAAGCTTCCACTAAAAACCCATTTTTAAAGGGAAGATGGGAAAGAGCATTTAACAAATTAGTCCATGTGGTAGTTTCATAATCTGTTGTCAATTTGAGGCTTAGGAGTGAAAGGATTAATGACTGCATCAATAGCCTGTCAATCAGGTCGCAGTCTGATGACCTCATTTGGAGGCGCTAAGGAGAGTGTCTATGAATTTGTTTCCCTAGTCTACCCAGACGAACAGTCCAGAACCACCTATCAATGCTTCAGAATCACCCGGTGTTTTCTTACGTTTACTTTACTATAGTCACTCAAGGCGTACCTGTCCATCGGTAATGGAAATGACATTGGTTGGAATATAAGCGGACACATCACCAGCCTGTGTTTCAATGACTGGAAGGGCGGTCAAGGAGCCACCACCAAAAGAGTCGTTCATTTTGGCGGCTCGTTCCAGCAGACGGGAGTGCAGGTAGAACACATCCCCAGGGTAGGCCTCGCGCCCGGGGGGCCGGCGCAGCAGCAGGGACATCTGACGGTAAGCCACAGCCTGGGGCAGAGACAAGGGCCTGTTAGACAAAAACGTTTGACTTTGGGAAAATCTACAAAGGGAAACTAAAAAGACATTTCTTCGCACCTGCTTGGATAAGTCGTCATAGATGATTAAAGCGTGCTTGCCGTTGTCCCTAAAATACTCTCCCATTGAACAGCCCGAGTACGGAGCCAGGTATTGAAGAGGGGCAGCATCCGAAGCTGTAGCCGAAACCACAATGGTGTACTTCATGGCATCTGAGAAGATTAATTTATAATTTCACAACGTTAGGTTATCAATATTGTGAGGCTACCAATTAAAAATGACCTCAGGACTACAGGTTTTGCCAGCATCAAAGCCCATCTAAAGAAACTGACACGATCTTAAAATGCATGGTTTTATATGCGTATTTTCCCATCAGTAGAAAGTTCCAGGCGCGGGGGAGTGCTTCAGACAGAAGGCAGGCCAGGAGGACCAGCAGCAGGGGACTGACTGCACTTTGTGATACCTGCATCTGTAAGCCTCTTCACCAACTGGGCAACAGTGGACCTCTTCTGACCAATAGCAACGTAGATACAGTACAGCTTCTTCTTCTCGTCAGTTCCGTCATTGAAGCGTTTCTGGTTAATGATGGTGTCAATAGCAATGGATGTTTTGCTTTAAAAGAAGAAAGTGTTTAAAAAGCTATTAAACACTAAAACTATTTTCTAGCCAATTTTACTACCACTAATCCCCAGAGCAGGACTAATCACACAACTAATTAAAGTGCGCTATCAATAAAATTCTGTCTGTTTAAGCCCACTTTAAAGAAAAGCCCGGCAATCTACTTCCAAAAGCCCATCACAGTTCTATTTGACACATGACTATGAGTTGAAATGGAGGGCCACTGGTTTTACATCTTTCTAGCACATTCCACCAGGAGCCCTGGTGGAGTACTGAGTTGTATGCTGGGCTGCTGACCACAAGGTCAGGGGTTTAAAGCCGTGAGCTGCTCCAAGGGAAAAAGCCAGGGCCTTTCCCTACTCTTGTCAAGTTTCAGGGTCAGATTCTGACACAAGAGCAGTTCTACCCTGTCCTATAGGATCGTGAGGGGTCAATGGCAGTGAGCCGTTCCACATCCAAAGCATTAACAGTTCTTGGCCTAAATGCACTCTTTCTCTGAAGTCAGTTTTAGAAGAATGGGAAACATGCTCTTGATAGTTTACCCAGTCTGTCGGTCCCCAATAATCAGCTCACGCTGACCACGACCGATCGGCACCAAACTGTCCACAGCCTTAATGCCGGTCTGCATTGGTTCACGCACAGAAATCCGAGGAATGATTCCAGGGGCTTTCAGTCCAACTCGCCTACGGGTCTTGGAACCAATTGGACCCTGTTTTCAAAAACAAAGGAACCCTCACTCAGACTACTGAGTTCTGGCATCTATTAGAAGCTGCTACCAGCTCATCAAATTCTACACTCACCTTTCCATCAATGGCATTCCCAAGGGCATCCACCACACGGCCCAGTAGCTCCTCGCCAACTGGGACGTCCACAATGGCTCCGGTCCTCTTCACGATGTCGCCTTCCTTGATGAGCTTATCGTTTCCAAACACGACAACACCGACATTGTCAGGCTCCAAGTTCAGAGACATACCCTACATGAGACACAATCAAACACCCACAAAGCACACGTGAGTGGCATTCCTCTCTCAATACCAACATTACGGGGGGGAAATTGCTACAGGGTGGGGAAAAGTATTGCCCCCTTTGTCTAGCTGTAGTCTGCCTGTTTTTCAAACTAACAAATTGTCTTCAAGATTTCTTTCTTCGGCATCATGTTCCCTAGAAACATCTTAAGACAGTACTATAAGCCTAACCATGCCTATTACCACATCCTTCAAGAAGGATCCTTTAGAACAGTGATTCTCAACCTTCCTAATGCCATGACCCTTTAACACAATTCCTCATGTTGTGGTGACTCCCCAACCATAAAATTATTTTCATTGCTACTTCATAACTGATTTTGCTACTGTTATGAATCAGGCGACCCCCATAAAAGGCTCGTTCAACCCACAAAGGGGTCACAACCCACAGGTTGAGAACTGCTGCTTTAAAAGATCCAAATAAATAGACGAAGTTTTCCCACATCATTCCCTTCACTTTTGAACTGAATGATTTGTCTAAATTAAGTTGATCGGGGCCAAATGGAATTTTAAGACACAAAGGAGTTTCTTTTCGTTTACCCATGAGTGCCTACAATAGCTGTCTACAGAATCATCTAGTCTGACTGCAGTCGCTAAGTTAGCAGAGTGGAAAGGCTATGCTAAGAGGGCAGAGGTTGGCAAGCTCCGAGGCTATAGCGACTCAGAACAAATACAGAAGGGGCAACACGGTACATGACTCAGGTGCAAGGTTTAGTCCTAACCTGTGCTGCTGCACAATAGAACAGGTCACGAGTAGCTATTAAGTTAATCACACACAAGTTAAATCCTACAATGTAATGCTCCTGAGTCACGTTTACACTTGATAGCCTCAGACAGTTACTAGCTACCATATTAAAACAGCAGATAGAGCATTTCCACCATTGCAAACGTTCTGTTAGAAACTGTTGGCCCAGACACTGGTATATTTTTTAAAATAACATTTTATTGAAAATTAGGCAAGCATTTACATTTCATCATTTTATTCAACAACTTACACAATTTACCTATTCCCCTAAATAGCTTGCCCTGGCCTCCAACCACCCCACCCCCCACCCCATAAGACATAATCCTTCTCTGACTCCAAGTTAACACCTGCCTACCCTCTAGTCTATTGCTTTCCCTTCCTGCCTTTTACTCCCCGGCCCATCCTTAG